CCAGCCGTTCACCAAGGGCTCTGGGACACGGAACAGGTTTATTTGAACCAGTTTTAGTAAGTCATAACTAATAATTGGTTTGTTGCATGGGTTAGGATATCTAAAGTACAACAGTTACAGCATTGGTAGTACTAATAGTCAAAGCAGTGATGACTCGATGACTTGATTTCGTACTTTCAAGCGGCAGCGGACAGCCGACGGAGTGCAGACAGCGGACGAACTCGCCGGTCCCCAGAGCGGACAGCACGGCCTTCCCCATCCGCGTCATCACCCTCATGCTGGCCACCACGTAGGGGGAGTCCGTCAGCTCCACGCCGATCTTAGAGAGGGGGGAGCCCACTGGACCCATGCTGAAGGGAATCACATACATGGTGCGACCTGAGGAGAGAGAGAGAGATACTTAATGTATGAACATAAGGAAGGTGTGACCAGTGTGCGAACGGCCCTCTAGTTTCCTATGTGGTTGGAACGCCATGACGTGATGAGAACTTTTCTTTCTTTCCTCGGTTGAAATTGGGGGCTGATTTAATCCCAAAGCGGTTCTCCGTGGTACCTTTCATGCAGCCGGGGAACCGCTGAGCCATCGCTTTGTCGAACTCTTCTGGGGACATCCAGCGGCCCAGCTGGCTGACCCCACCCTCCGGGGGGGTGGGCACCGTGTCCCTCTGGTCCCGGGTCACGATCACGGTCTTACTCTCCACCCGAGCCACGTCCCTCGGGTCGGTCCTGGCCAACCAGCTGCAGGAGGTGGGAAGGTAGGGGAGGCGGGAAGGGAAATAGAAAGAGGAAGGAGGGCGTTTCATTACTTTTTAGAATAGCAACGGTTCACATGTAGTCTGCTGCTCACTAAACAAGCCGGATTTACCGGTTTATCAGTATGTCAACCTTTAGTACTGTTGCCGTTTATTTCAACAGCTGCCGTTACTGAGGAAATGTGCCAATAGGGTCAGCGCTGTCAAATATGCATTGAGTAGGTGTTTGTTTCACAGACCAGATAGGGAATAAGTCTGTCAGAGGTAAACATTAGTATCACCTCAACCAGGTCATACACCCCCCTCCACCAAAAAAACCCAACCAATACTCATTCATTTCAATCTGTTTCCACTGAAGAATAATTCAAACGAAAAAACAATATAGCCCCATCCGACGTACCAGTTCTCGTATTTGCTGAGCTTCTTCATCATTCCCTGCTCCTCCAGCTGGGTCAGGATGGCCTTGTTCTCCTCGTCGGAGCCGTCGCAGATGTGGAGGAAGTCGGGCTGGCAGAGGCTCACGTTGGTGTCCACAAACTCCTTGAGGTCCACGCCGAGGGCGCCAAGGTCGCCCTGCAGGACGCGGGGACCTTTCTGGTTCTGGGACGGAAGCTGAGGAGGCATGGCGGAGGAGTCCGGAGAGCGAGCCGGCTGCACGAAGGAGGGAAGGAGTGGAGTGTCTCGAGGTGTGGACGAGCTTCGGTGTGAGAGAGAGAGGAGGGCGGACACCAGAAAAAAAGCACAATAAGGTTTAGGAAAAAAGTCCCAAAGATGGTGATGAAGGAAAGGAAGCAGATGAAGGAAACAAGTAGAGGAAAGTTTAAAACATGGCTAAAAAAACAGCTGTTATTTATCCTGGATTTGAAAGCCCACATTATAATTCAAAGAAGCGTTGCAACCTCCTGCTCAGACCGACTCACACTCAGCAGCATCCCCGTGCAGAGCCCCCGTCCCTCAGCACACCCCCTCCTCCACCTACCCCAGAAAAGACGGAGCTTGGGGTTACCTTCAGTAGTCTGTGCAGAGCCGCTAGCTTGGCCTCATCAGCTGAGGGGTCCGTTGGGGGTTTTCAGGAGGGCCGAGGATTGCTTGTCCTTCTTGGTCAATTGGTGTCTGCTGTGGAGAAGGTCCGTTGTTTTTATACCCTGGGATGTCCCACAAGAGGAGGAGGAGGAGGAGGAGGAGGAGGAGGAGGAGGAGGAGGAGGAAGGGTTGTATGCACGGACTTGTTGCTCCCTGCAGATCTGAAAAAACACACGGTGTGACGGGCCGCCAGCCAATCATTAATCAGCAGAGGGACACAGCGTCCTCTCTCTGAAAGGAAATAGCTTGATCATGTCCGGGTGTTTGTGGAGTTTGTTGTTTTTCATCTCACAGCATTCGTCCTCTTTTGTTTTTAGTTTCCATGGGACCTGAACACGGTCTTAAGTCTTCCCCTGTGGTTTGTGCCTCATATTGTATTTATTTGTCTTTGTAAACCGTGTTTTTACACCTGCCTCACGAATAAAGATATTACTATATTCTGGGGAGGGACAAAAATAAGTATTGAAAATCTGTTGAATCAGCAAAAATCTGTTGAACCCACATTTATAAACTCTTATTGATTTCTTTACTTTCAAAAATATCTCTTACTTCTTAGTGGCTTTTCAGCTCTGACAAGAAGATTCAATCTGACAAACTATTGTGCAATATCTCAATATCTCGGTGTGGAAACCTCCTGCCCTGTTTGCAGCAGCTGCTGTTGAACTTTGACCCCCAATACTGAGTGATGTAAGTCCGGGGTTCGACATCGTCACGCCGCGGCGTGACGGGGGCAGCGCAGCAGCTCGGCTCATTTCTATTGGCCGAGCGGCGAGGGGGCTCGACCTGTGGGGTCAAAGGTCAGCCCGGCGAATAAGCACGTGTGTGTGTGTGTGTGTCTGTGTGTGTGTGTGTGTCTGTGTGGCAGTCAATAGGACTCTATGAAGAAAGACGCTTTTAGCCTTTAAAGGTAAAAGCACTGAGAGGTGCAGTTGATTGTGAGTTAAGATCTGTGAGGTTGAAGGTAGCAGTATTTACAGTACTACTAGTTCTACTGATTAGTATTATTATAACTTTGCAAATCATTGTTTTAGAAGAGCCTCGCCTCCCTCCGTTGGGGGCCTGATAGTGGCCGTGCTCCTAAAAGTCATTTATATGATGCGGTTACGTGAGGTGACGTGAGGTGACGCTGCGTTACCAAACAAGCACTTAATTCAACCCAAACCAGGATGTTTTCTCCTTTTTACCAAGTGGTGTATTTGTGCTGCTTAAACATTACAAAGTAAAGGCTCCTGCTCGAGCTGCTCGACGTATGTGAGGGATGATTAGATAACATGTCCCAGAAGATATGCACACTTACATAAGTGCTTTGTACGATTTAGGATGTTTTGGATGCACTCACAACATTATTTTAAAAAGCCTTTTATTAGCAGCAGGAGGTGGAGATCTGTGGCAACCTTTTTACTCTTGTACTTGTTCTAATCCCAAGCAGTAATCATGGAACTCAAACTCGACAGTACTATATACGTATATGTAGACAGTACTATATACGTATATGTAGACAGTACTATATACGTATATGTAGACAGTACTATATACGTATATGTAGACAGTACTAAATACGTATATGTAGACAGTGCTATATACGTATATGTAAACAGTACTATATACGTATATGTAGACAGTACTATATACGTATATGTAGACAGTACTATATACGTATATGTAGACAGTACTATATACGTATATGTAAACAGTACTATATATGTATATGTAGACATTTTTATGCTTTCAATTATATCATAATTTAAAGCATAAAAATGACAATCATGAATAGAAAAAGTAGAATTCACAATATATTTAATATGAGGATGAATGTTTTGGATTGAGTGATAACACAAAGTAGGTTTTCATCATAAAATCCTGCTAACATAAAGCTTGATTTCTACTTCCACTATTGTAGTTGAGCCAAAAAATCAAATATTCAGAGGAAAAGTTCTCCTGTTTTCTATTGAAATCTCCAACATTGAATGACCTAGAACAGCTGGACGGACTTATAGCCTTGTTTTTCCTGATACGGGGGGAACATAACCGTATACGATCTAACGGTATTCTCACATTTATGGTGGGAGGAAGGAAGCGTTTGACCATTTATATCTGTAAACAGAGATAACACAGGACGGCAATATAAAGCAATTAGAAAAACAAAGATAAAATCCTTTGAAAAATAAAGCAAACACCTCCATCTTCAAACCCGTGTTCAGATCTCTACAGTTTACATGAACTAAAACGATTCAGCGTCCTCTCTCCGGCTCGTGACCCCCGATGGTCTTCACCAGAGCGACGAGGGCAGAAAACACTACGAGGTTTGGGATCCGTCGCCGGCACCCATTGGGCAACGAGGGATTCCGCCGCCGCAGCAGGAGAGGTCAAAGTGCACCGACGCGATCGGCCACGTGCCTGATAAACTGTGCCGGGGTCCGTTACATGGACTGAACGGGAAGCGTTGTGTGGTAACCCACGGCAACGGGGCGAAAACCACCACGATGATACTGGGAGGTTTATGAAAAGGCAACAATTCCTCAACTGGGCCTTGAAATCACTTCTACACAGAACGATATTTGAAGCTTTTTAGAAATTGTTTTAAGAGCAAACGTGACTTTGATCAGGACGCACTGATTGAACTCACCGAGATGATCGCAGTCTGTTGTGCAGGGTGGTTGTTTTTTAACCTTTCGCAAATGATAATTAATCATGTGATAGTGATTATTAATATTGTTAAGAGTAGTTTTTGTAAGTCAAAATTGTTGTTGTATTTCACAGCACAAAGCGGGGACACTGAGGAAGCTCCATAAAGACGCAGCGGAGCAGCAAGTGAAGACTTGTGTTTGATTAGAGCGCCACCTGGTGCCTCTGTAACACCATCCAGTCCAACACAACAGCAGGTTACTTGATTAAAGACAATAAATCCTCCCTGTTTGAATGTTCAAACGATCATCATCATCTCATGGCGACTTTTGGCTAATTAGACACCCAAACTAAGCGGACGCAAAAGAGCCGTTCTTTTGCCTTTTGTGTCTCCTCAGAAGCGACTTTGTTCTTCTACTGCAGAATGAAATAATACTTTAGATCAAACGGTGACAGACAGCGCGTGTGAGGGTCTGCGTGAAGGAAAAGGGGAATCAGAGATGACGTTTTCTCGCTGGTTTCAGCTTCCTGTGTGGAGCCAAACATCACATTCAGGATCCGAACCGTTTGAACTTGTCCGCGTTGGTTGTGGTTTCTGAACCGCGGCCTCCGCGCATCACGCACAGGATGGGGCGGAGCGCAAACAAACTACACTGATTTACAGTTGTTCAGGGCTCGGGGGGTCGACGGTTTGAGGAACTGTAGTAGAGAAGACGGAACCATTTGTGAAGTGCTCAGAAACCGGGTTTAACTTTGGCTTCGACATGAGTTCCTCCACGTTCCTGCTGCTCCTGTGTCTGTCCTCCTGCTCCGCGGCCGGTGAGTAATTCTACTCTGCTCCAGTCTTACCTCATACCAGTAAACATCCCAGTATGATGAAACACGCATTATTACTGTTAAATACTTAACATTTATTACAACAGTTTTAACATAATAAGGACTCTTAATAAGGATTCTTATTTAAACAAATCAGTATATCAATGAATATACATATATATATATATATATATATATATATATATGTATATACATGACCATACATATATGTTTTATATATATATATGACCATATTTATATAAAACAATTCAGAATATGTTATAACTACCATATCGTAATTATTATAAATATCATACAATAAATATATTATATTAAAGGATAGATATATGTATATAAAATCTATTAGAACATGTATATGTATATATTTAAAGACCAACTCAAAAGCCCCACAAAACTTCACACATCGTGCCCGAGTGCAGTTAAAATACTTAAAAAATATATTAAAAAATACTTAAAATAACTTAATACTTAAAATAATAGTTAAAATACTGCCTTTGGAACCTCGCTCCGGTGTTTATTAGAAGCATGTTCACGTGCTTCTGTGAAACATTGAGTGTTTCTCTAACCAGCAAAGTAAAAGCCCAGAATTCTTTGATGAAGTTCCGTGGGGTCGCTTAACGAAGCAACGAAGCAACGAAGCAAAGAAAGACGAACCGAAACCAACAGAGACAAGACGCAGCAATAAGCAAATGAGAAGCGGGGCAGGACGAGGGCGGAGGAGGGCGCAGGAGGTGGAGGAGGTGGAGGTAACTCAGGGAACAGAAGGAGGCAGATGAGACGAATACACAGGAAAAAGGAGGAAAAAGACACAGGAAGTCACACATAAGAGAAAAACATACATCCTCATTTCTACACGGCAGAATGAACGTGATGCATTCGTTAATTCATCTTCATTGGCTGTTGAGCAGCGCGCTTTCTGACACAACCCTTTTTGCTCTTGCACATCATCTGTAGATCTGCTGATTTAAGGCGTCTTACTTCCCTTTTCTTTGTTTGTGAACACCAGTGATTTCAAAGAGGAAGTAGAACTCAACAACAAAGTCACTGAGACGTGATCTCAAATGTTCATCTGCTTTGTCCTGAATATTAACTCAGTTTTCGAGTCTTTCTGGAAAATGTTGCAATAGAAACTTTGAATCATTCTTCCCGTCTCAGTTTTAACTACAATCCATTACGATAGTTGAGCTTTTTTACTCAATATAACTTTTATTTAAATCCACATGTTAACCAATGACCCGTAACCACATGCACATAGGTTCATATTTTCTCGCTCTGCCGGTCGCCCTCAACGAGGTTCTTCTCCTTCCCCCGTTGGTTTTCGTGCCACAGACGGACACGGATACTTCATGTACGCCGACTTCTGGTGCAACATGCAGACTGCGAGGCCGCAGCAGGTGGAGTATCTGGTCGACTGGTATTTCAACAAAGAGTTCACGATGCAGTACAACAGCACGGTGGGGAAGTGGACCGGCTTCACCGCGGCCGGACTCGTCTCCGCGGCCGTTTTCAACGGGAACCACTTCGACGTCCTGCAGAGGAAAGAGGAGAGGCGGCTGATCTGCGTCGACAACGTGGGACACGCGCTGAACGCTACGGAGGACAACATGGGTGAATATTCAAAATCCGTGACGTCTGCGTGGCTGATTACACAGCTGTACGTGGTTAGCATAGCTTAGCATAAATACAAGAAGCAAAATTCATATAATAAATGGTCAAATCCAAACATTTGATTAAATATTTAATAACCTAAATCTCACTGGCCTATTAGGAGCAAATCATTAAATCCAATGAGCACTGTATCATTTGCACGGACGTATTCTCGCCGTTGGCGGCCCGCGAGCGACGTCCCCCAAAAGGACCAAGGCGCTGCCCCCCCCCCCGGGGACGCGGAGGACATCTCTCAGTTAAACCGCTTTCATTTCAGCCGCACCCAGCGTCCGTCTCGCGGAGGCCAGCGGCTCCGGCCACAACACCACGCTGGTGTGCAGCGCCTACGACTTCTACCCCAGGCGCATCCGGCTGGCGTGGCTCCGCGACGGACAGGAAGTGACCTCGGGCGCGACCTTCAGCGAGGTCACGACCAACGGAAACTGGACGTACGCGGTCCACTCCTCCCTGAGCTTCACGCCGGGCGGGCGGGACCGGGTCAGCTGTAAGGTGGAGCACGCCGGCCTCCAGGAGCCCGCGCTGCGCACGTGGGCGGCGCACGGGGCCCGAGGTTCGTAGCGCCGGGGCGGATTGGTTCCTCTGGGACGCCGAGCTGCCCCATTATGTTGACGTTAACAAGAATTGTGCACAACGCACAAATAAGTGGTGCCTCTGTTTTTGTGTTGTTGCAGACTGGGAGACGGGCTTCCTGGTGGGGGGCGTTTGTGCTCTGCTGCTGGGGGCGGCGTGTCTGTCCTCGGGTCTGATCGTGCACAGGAGGAAATATTCTAACATCTCATAAGTCAAGTAAATTGTCACGTGGATGTGGTCGACTTTACACCGTGTCCCATTTGATACACACTGCTTTTGAGGAGAGTCAGAAAGGAAAGTGACATTTGAGAGTTTTACCTGTTGGCGTGTGGTGAAGTAAGTACTGTGAGGGTGAAATCACGGTTTAGTTTTCATTCTGAACCAAAGCAGACACACGAGCTCCCGGGACGCACCGTCGCCACGGTTACACAACGGCAGAGAAGTGACGTGTACGTGTCAAGGTGGCAACTCCGTCTCCACGGCGACGGCAAACAAGGGACACACAAAGGGAAACGTTAGCCGGACAGAGATAAAGACTCACACACACACAGACACACACACACACACACACGTGCGGACGGGACAGATGGCGGATTCACAGCGAGCATCCGAACCCGTCAACTTTGTGCATCAGGACGAAATCTGGTAAACCTGCTGCTTGTTTCAGGGATTCGTGTCGTCTTTCATCTCGCTCTCTGTCAGCCGCGTTCTTGTAAAAACCCACTTAAGTGAGTCATTGGGGTCCAGAAAGGGAGTCTGTTTGATTTGGTCTTTGTATCGCAGCAGGCTGAGCATTCTGCCAAGATGTTCTTATTAGTTTTGGTGTGTGTGTGTGTTGTCATGTTGGTTATTATTGTTTAAAAAAGAAGCTGTGTCCTTCATGCTTTTTGTGTTTGTACTGGTGTTAGTTTGACTTCAAAATGTTTTTTTCACGCCCTTCTTGTTCCTTTTCCATTCATTTTTTTTGTTGCTGTTTTATGCGCTGTAATAAATTCGGCCTGCCGTACTAACTTATCATGACATGTACAGTCCCTTGTATCTATAAGTGAAAGCGTGACTTGTTTGAATTTCATATGCAGGACTTTCTATGCAGTAACGAGACATTTTGAAAGACTTCACTTTCAGCAGTAACGTGAAAATGTTATTGCAACATGAAAGATATTTTATTGTGAACCGAATCTTTTTGAATTTGGGCCACTAATCTCGTTATACAATCCATCTGTCTCCTGTGTGTGAAGGAAAGCACATTTAAAAGCTGAGAAGGATTCGGCCAAAGTGTGGCCCACCAAGTGGGGCTTCCTGACGGAGGCCTACATGGAGGTACACACACACACACACACACGCACTCACACACACACACACTCACACACACAGCTCACCAGGTCACACAGTCACACATTGCTCTCCACGCACCACGATCCAAAAAGGAACCCAGATGTCGTTCCATCGAACTCTTTGTGTCGTTCTTCAGTACGAGAGGGAGAGTGTGAAGCTGAAGGAGGCACTCCGAGAGAAGCATCCCCATCATCACCTGGCGGCACGACCTCCGACCCCTGCGGGAGAAAACGTCAATGTACGATTTCTATCTCTCTTTCACTCCTTATGTAACTCTGTTTCCCTCTCTATCAAGTCTCAATCTCATGTTCCGGTGGTTTCTGCAGGTTGGACCCTCTCCTCCGGTTCCTCAGACATCTCAGGCCCTGATTGGGTGGCGTTCGGGACAATCGCATCTTCAGCTGGACAAGTACGCCACGGTGCATCATGGGAGGCGTAGTTTTCTGAAGGAGTTGGACTGGCCTTTAGGCTCGTGCGGCTGACCACCATTCTGTGTCTTTTGGGATATTTAGTGACTCATGAAGCTACAAGGATGTTTTAAATAAAGAGCTTAATCAAATCAATCATGAGATTACAAACATTTGTTAAAAGCGTTCCATCCTGGGGATGGTCGGGAAATGATATTTTACGTCTTTCCACAGCCGTTCATTTAATATAGAAAAAAGAAAACCAAAATTTCCCTCTTGAGAGATCAATAAAGTATCTATCTATCTATAGAAGGCAATACCTCGGGTCAGAAACTGACGCCATAGTACTTTAACCTTGCATCCTTTTGAATGGCCAGTTTGATTGTAAACTTGTGGTACTAAAATTTCATTAGAGATATCTTAAGTAAAAATAAATAATAATGTAATGTAGGTAGATCAATAGATATAAATAATATGACATGTTAATACTTACTTATACATACATATATCAAAAAAAAAAAAAAATATATATATATATATATATATATATATATATATATATATATATATATATATATATATATTTATATATATAATGCTACTACGCAACAGATTGTTCAAAAAGGTATATTTTTAGAAACAGACTGGTCACCTGGGAAATTCCCCCTGGAAGGATGACGGCACGTGTCCTGCGTGAGTCAGCGGCGACGTAATGACGTCACGAGGCCTTTTCTGGAAAAGCGGAAGAAGAAACAAAAACAACAACAGCAGTCTGTCGGCTCGGTGACGGTAGTTCGAGGGAAGACACGGAGAGAGCAGGAGAGGCGTCTGGCGACTCGGCGCTCGGTGTCACAAAGTGTCGGCTGTTCGGTCAAACGCTCACGTTGTTGGCTCACATTTAACGGCAACATGTCGCTGTTCGGTAAGTTGTTCGGCGGCGGCGGGGGAAAGGGTGGCAAAGCGCCGACACCCCAGGAGGCGATCCAGAAACTCCGAGAGACAGAGGAGATGTTGGCCAAAAAACAGGATTTTTTGGAAAAGAAAATCGACACGGAGCTCATGACGGCGAAGAAGAACGGAACGAAGAATAAACGAGGTGAGGAAACAAAAACAAAAAAAAAAGCCCGAAGTTTGTGCTGTGGACAGAAGCTTAGTTTGCGAGCTGTTAGCCCCGCGGGCTAACGACACGCGCTAACCGGGAAGTTGGCAGTTGACAGGAACACACGTCGACCCACCCGGACACCATTTTTATTTTTACCTTTTAACTTTACGTGTCTTCTACCCTTTTTAAAGAAGACTATTTGTTTAAGTCGCTGTGGGATAATACTACCACACAGGAACATTTAAAACAGGACACTTTATCTTTGCTTTTGTAATGTGAAGTCTGAATTAATGACAACCAGCCAATAATAATTACTTATTAATCAATTATTTATTGATAAAAAAGTTTAAACCGTGTCCCGACAGGTAAAATAATCAAGTTACGTTTAATGTAACGTTATTAATAATATTACATGTGCATACTAAACTGTTGCTTGTTTCTTTATATTTATCTAAATATATTTTATTGTATTGTATAACACCAGCTGTAGATTGTGAAAGTCACGTTTCATTGTCTTTTACCCACTTGTGACTCATCAAACAAAGCCAGTAGGCAGCAACGACTGCCTTCAATTTGTATTAATTGTTGAACCCTATAAAATGTCCGAATGACATCACAGCTTATCTTCCACCAAGGGGGAAAAACAGTCATAGGGAGCAGCCATGACACCAACCCGTTTGTTATCAAGGTAATAATCTGCTTTAATGCATCAACAAGGTTTCTTTGTGTTTGTGAAGAGCGCGACGGGGCCTGCAGATAATGTGCTCATTCACAGCACTTGTTGTTTAGAGCAGGAACCAAGGAACCAACTCCAGAAAGTTATGATGACAGCAGTGATTTGCTCCTCGACACGCAAGAGGAAACCCATAGAACTCTATGCGCTACAGCGAGTCTCCTCCCTGGAATGTGTGCTTGAGAATTTCACAACACGTCACACAGCCGCAGCACAAACGTCAAATGCAAATACATCTTTCAGTCAGCTGATGTTGGTCAAGGGGGTGAGGTGGATCCATGGCGACCACGTGCTGATACATCTCTAATATAGGCAACAAATTGTTTATGAAGGATGTTGGGAACCACACAGAGGACCTGTTTTATTTTGATGACTTATTGCAGGACGGTAAACTTCCTTCAGTCTGTACATGGGATACCATACCTGTGTCGTCAGCCTGATGCATTGTGCCCAGCAGAGAGAACCGGTTTCCTAAAGATGACGCCAACATGTTGAGCTATGACCAGAGTCAGCTGACTACCGGAGGAGAACAAGAGGCGCCGGTGTGGCTGGTTGTTACGTGTGCATTAACCCACATTCCTCCTTTTATCCATTCACACCTGAAATTTAAACATGTACAGAAACAACGTTTAGCAACAGGGCGGCTTTGGGGTGTTTTATGGATATTTTATGTCAGCACTTTTATCGGGACCAGCAAATGTGCATGAGATTGTACGGACAGACATTTGTTAGTTGGATAGAATCTAAGACATGCGGTACAGAAACTATGATGCACCACACCCTGTTTACACACAGACTGCTAGCTGGGAGACAGGAGATGGAACCACAGAGTTCCCACGCGCCACAAACACGCTGAGCTCAGTCACAGCTCGTCTTAAAACTCCTTGTCTCTGAAAGCTCAACGTAATTCAATGAGGCAGCCTCTGGTACCAACGACCGTTAACATGCAGTATTTTGCCTGACGGCTCTCTGGTGGAACTTCTTTCTTTTATTACGCTACTTCTCGTCCTTCTCCATGTTCGTCTTCAGGTACTTCAATGACACTCTTTGACCTGAACATTGTCCACTGGAGTTGTTTCCGAGAGCCTTAAATAAATCACAGAAGAATGACCTCACAGGGAGGGAATGGTTACGTAACTGGGTCTTATACGCATGTGTTCTTTACTGATTGCATCTTGTTTCTCTGGTAAAAAAAACCCGGAACAGCCAGTTGATGGATTCACGTCTTCAAGGTCGGCGACGGGAACGAAGGATACCGGCGTATAGTGATGAAACTTACATTTCCTTTGAGTAGAAAGCAGAGTAGAGTAGAAAGTTACCATTTATTTTGGTTGCTCCATAGTGAGTTAAAAGTGACCTGAAATTCGGGATGGCGGTGTGGATGCAAGCTGATCTAATAACGCTGTGTGTAATGGTGCATAAAGATGTTATGGGTCCAGGAATAGGGCCGTGCGCTGATATAATGCGATGAGACTGGAACTGGTGGACCAGACTGACGCGTATTTTTCATTTTTCAAATGAAAAGCGGTTGTACGGTTTCATGTAACAATTGAACTTTTTTTAAATGAGAAAAGAAAGCCAAATATTACAAGTCATTCTGTGGTACCTGAATGTGAGTGAAGCCTGTAGGATTCATGCTCTGGGGACGATGAATACAAGTACCGAATGTCCCGCTGGACCAGTCATTATTTGCAGAGATATTTCAGTCTAAACTAACTTGTAACGTGCAGAAACCACCTTCCAATAAACAGGATCCTGTTGGTCTTTTTGTAGCTCCAAGGATTAAGAAGCACCCGGTTATAGAGAGACGTTTGCCTAAATACTGTTCCAAAGCTCATTGCTAAACCAACAGGTGAGCTCCCACTCAATCCGTCCACTGTCCTGTTGCTGCTCAAGTGGAGGAGAGCTGATCTTTGATCATTTCAGAAAGCCGTGACTTCCATCTTCTCTTTGGGCCGTGATCCAGCTGTGACGACGGACTCACTTTCTCTGCTCACGTAATGACTCAGCAGCTTTTACTCACCGGGGATTTCTCGTGTCAGGAGATCTCATTGTTGTGGTTAGAGAACGATTCCCGAGCGGGACGAGAAGAACAAACCGTTGCAAAAGTCCCAGAGATGCGTAGAGTAAACCGTGAATATGAAGTAAAAGGAGAGCTGTGACAAGAAGTGGCTTTATATTTAGTGACAGGATGTTAACGGTTACTTTCAGTAGCGGCGTCACAGACATTTTATTCTGGTATTGTTGTGAATTGACAGTAAAACCAAAAAATGTTTTTATTTTATAATGTAAAAATGATTTTTTTTTTATAGTGACAATCAACAGAACCATAATTTAATAAGCTAATTAAGTCACTTAGTCGTTCACATCATTTGCTCCTCATTGGCCAGTGAAGTCGTCCTTGCCAGTGGTCCGAGTCAATCCAACCGTGGCTTCCCGTTCTATTTTATTATTATTCTACTTAGACCGGGTGAGCTGTGCGTCTACGTGCGGAGATTCGGCGCAGTCGTGCTTCTTTTGGGACGAACACTTTGCTTCTGTAGCTCTTCCCGCTCGCGTAAAGTAAGCCGTAGTCGTGTCTTCACCAAACCGTCCCCTGATTTGCAGCAGCGCGGCGAATGCTACACCAGCAGGGATTTAAAGCTAAAAGCCGAGCAGCGGCCGTCTCCTGAACTGACGTCCGGTCTTCTCTCCGCCCAGCCGCTCTGCAGGCCTTGAAAAGGAAAAAGCGCTACGAGAAGCAGCTGGCTCAGATCGACGGGACGTTGTCCACCATCGAGTTCCAGAGGGAGGCGCTGGAGAACGCCAACACCAACACGGAAGTGCTGAAGAACATGGGCTACGCCGCCAAGGCCATGAAGGCCGCCCACGAGAACATGTGAGCGAGGCGTTTAAAGACGTCGTTGGTTATTTTAAGTAACACTTTGGTTATTTCTTATTGACCCCCCCCCCCCCTTCCTGTCTCACAGGGACATAGACAAAGTAGACGATCTGATGGCGGACATCACGGAGCAACAGGAGGTGGCCCAAGAAATCTCCGACGTCATTTCGAGACCGATCGGTTTCGGAGACGAGTTTGACGAGGTGAGGAGCTCCACGTTTCGCCCCTACGACAGTTTGCTTGGGATGCACCAACGTCTCCCAAACTGGCAACAATACTACGGCGGAAAGTCTTACACAAACAGCTCGGTTACTTATTTGTGTGTGTGTGTGCAGGATGAGCTTATGGCTGAGCTGGAGGAGCTGGAACAGGAAGAGCTGGACAAAAACCTTCTGGAGATCCAGGGAACGCAGGACGTTCCTCTGCCCAGCGTACCGTCCACATCACTACCGTCGAGACCAGGTATTAGATGTCGCTTTAGTAGATGGAAAATCTATTCAAATCACATAAAACGCCACGTCTGACCTCTAACCTCTGTCCGTTGCTCTCTCTCTTTTCTGCAGCCAAGAAGAAGGAGGAAGACGAGGACGACATGGCCGACCTGGAGGCCTGGGCAGCTATCTAAGCTAGCTCGCCCTGCTAGCCAGCCGGTGTCCCCCCCTCCCGTCTGTCTCTTTTCAACCGGGCTGCTCGTGCACATCGGGAACTGATACGGGGACTCTGGGCTTCTAGCATGCTGCTCCCTCTTAGAGTACAAACACGGCCAAACCCCTGAAGTATGCACTTGTGTGAAAACATCCACTGACTTAAGAACCAACCCGGGGCTCTTCTCCTCCGATCAGCGTCACGGTACAAATGTCTTTCTGCTCCGTGCCCGCGTCTAAAGGGCACGAAGCACAGAGACTAAAGGTCGCGCCCCAACAGCCTGTGGCTGGGTACACGGGAGAAGAGGCCATTGATGCAAGCGCATACTTCTAGGGGAGGGGGTGCGGAGGAGCAGGACGAGGCTATTTTCTGGGAGGAGTGTGAAGAATAAACAGATGTATATTGGGGGGGTGGGGGGAGGCGGGGAAGGGGGTGAAGCAAAAACAGAAAGAAGGCATAATTTAGCCATTGTTTTCTCTGCTTCCTGCGCTGTCATCGTTTGGCTCTTCTACGAGGATCGTCTACGCTGCGCCACCAAGAGACGAATAATGAACTGTTGGACTTTCTCATTGGAAAACCGCTGTGACGGGAGGATCCGGGGGTCCGATCCCTGCCGTCTCAGTCGGACCCCTCAGCTCTCTGCATCTTTTCAGTCAGCTTTCTAAAATGTCATGTGAGCGAGGTGTTGTCCACGGGAGGAGCCTTTTCCGTGTTAAATGCACAATTAGTTGAGGTTGACGTTGAGGTGATCTTTTTTTTTTTTCCCCGCGCAGCTGCGTACAACCTTTTTGCGTCGTTTCTGATTGGCTGCTCGTCATGTGGCACATGCTCGCTGCGCGTTTACAGAGAATGACGCCCAGAAACGCCTCAAAAAGGTAAAAAACGAGAAGCAGGGGGCGGAGTCTCCGGATCCGGACTCCGCCCCCTGCTTCTTGTGCGTCGTGAGCTGCGATGAGGAATCCTACTCGTTTCGCCTTAAGCCGAAGCCGTCAGGTCTCTGCTCGTACTTGAAACAGGCTTTGCAGCTTTATTTCTTGGAACTTTGAGCCGACGTGATGCCGCGAGCGTTGAATAATTACCAAACAGCCCGATACGACAACCTTTGTTCTGGAGACCGTTTGGAAATGTAGCTCTTAGCTAGCAGGCTCTTTTCAAGTGTTTATGCTAACCAGCTGATGGTAGTTTGACCCGAGGGACGTGGCTACACTCCACTCACAATGCTGGAGTTACAAAAAGATTCGTCTCGCGTTTGTTTTATTTTTTACCAACATGTAATTGGAAAAAATTATAATTGATAGTGTTATCTTTCTTTTTTTCTCTGAGCTTGGTACTGACATTGCAAAACAAATTAATATTTTCTTTTCTTTGTTAAAGACTAAAATATCTTTTGCCTTTGCCACCAAATAACATTTTTTTTTTAAAACAAATCAAAAAATAATGCATCTTATCTTCTATCCTACTTTGTACCTTTTAGCTCAGGAATTTTAGACCTGTTTGTTTTTGTGGCTTTTCAGAACAAGTTGTGAACTTCCTGTACGGCTGTCCAAATTACATCACGTGTTCCTGGGTTAAAAAATTGCTCGTGCCTGACACCTCCAGCGCCTTGTCCCCCGACGCGCTCTGAGAAAATCCTACCTTGGTTAAATTGTGTGTGACTGTGTGTGTGACTGTTTGTGCGCGCGGTGCGTTTTTTCCCGCCTTTAGACACAACGACCTCTTGTGAATAATCAGTGAAAATGAGACGGTGAGCTGGATTTCTTTTTCTTCGGTTTGCTCTCCACTCGCCTGCTGTGTGAAGGCCGACTTCGGTCACGAGCGTCTTCGTGGTCTTCTGCTCTTCCTGTCCTCAGTCCCCCCTCCTCCCCCCTCCGGTCCGGACTCGGGCGAGCGGGGCTGGGACTGTAAATCTCTAAATAAAAGAATGAAATCATGTTGTTATTTGAATCTTTTGCTCATTGGTGGAGCTGATATTTCACAACAAGCTGTTGAACAGAAGCTCACACGGGCCTCGTGTTGTTTGAGGTTGTCTTCGGGTCATCGCGGTGCGTTTCCCCCTCGGCGGCGTCCAGCCTCCAAAGAGACGTCACATGACGCAGGGAGGGAGTCCAGATCTGAACGACTAATCGAGTCGCTTATGTGCGCTGTGCTTTATGCTGGACACACGTGCACACTAAAGACAAAAAGGAATAATCTCGTTTGAAGAATCCTATTTCCAAGCAAATGGTTACTTTTGAATAAAATGTATATTAAAACAAAAAAAGGACGAGCCTGGAAGAAGGTGAACTCGTCACCGGAGTGTTGAACTACAATTAAAACGCAAACCTGCGTCACTTGAGACGTCGGGGTCGGGGCTCATGACTCTTAAATTAACTGAAGTATATTTAGGTTTTCTACCAGTTGAGCCGCTCTAACTTGAGGCTCACACTCACTCCATTTTCCTTCCGTATATGCTCATTTTCAGAACCGGTACTCGGCATACTTAAGGTTAACTTGAATGAGTATCAGGCCGGATGGTCAGTGATGTCTTCTCAAAACGAGAACAAGTGAAACTAAAACATAACGAGCAAATGTTTCTTTTTATTTCCGCTGATTTTAAGTTACTAAAGTTGTGCATCTCGTACCCTTCTGACACTCATTGTTGGGTATCTCATGTGTATACAAATGGTACTCAAATGATTTGCTAAAAGTCAAAACTCAAACGGCAAAAAGTCCTTCAATCTAAACTTGAGTTTAGTCTGAGCTATAAAGGGTCACGTCTATTATTTCTGCAGTTATTTATGCTTTTGTGATAATACTCACATACTTTTACTTCTAGCTGAGTATTATCTTATTATTTAGTATTAGTACTTTAAAAGATCTGAATAATGCAACACTATAATGTGTCACATTATATCATGGAGACCCATTACACATTGAACATTCTCTTATACAAACAAAAAACTTGACAAAACCTGTTCTAAAAACTCCATCTAGAAACTATCATTGGCTGGCCGACGCGTATCGACCGTCATCCAATCACATCCCTCACACGCAGGGCGGGAGCTACCGCAGCCAATAGGAACCCAGAGCGGATCCTCGCGTCACACCGCCCCCTTGTGTAAACGGTTTGAATCTGGCTCCTCGACCATAAAGAGCGAGCCGTCACTCTTCTGTCCCTCCCGCCCGCCTGCCTCTCTTCGTCGGCCGCGCTGCCCTCAACCTGCCTGAAACCAACCACCGGAAAACAACAATGTCTGAGAAACTTGCCTACAAAGTTGGTAAGCGGGTGTATTTATGATTTTGACCGTGTTTAGAAGATGTGGGGTAATCACGTTTTGCTAGCTTGCGTGTTAATGGAAGTTAATGGTAACGTGCATGCTAGATAACGGCTCTTCTATCAGCCAGACTTGGGCACTAATTAGAAGCTAATTATATTATTTAGATATCTTGTGTGGTTTACCGCTTTAGTGTTGTTATAAAAACCGTGTTCATGCTAACACAATGCTAGCATTTCGTGCACGCTGTCGTGGTGTTGTGATTTAACGTTTAGTGACACATTTGTTGGTCGTAAGAGTTCGTTATTTTAGTTTCAGGGCTGTGACGTTAAATGTCGACGTTCCGTTACGCGCAGTTTGCAGAGATTACCCAAAATGTGAGGATGAATCGACGTGTAACAGCTCTACAAGCCGCGAGCATGGGCTTCTCCGAGCAGAGACCGTGTCCGCTGACTCTGGGTGTTGTAGTTCATTAGTGGAGCCGGGGAGCGTCACTCTCTGTCGCCCGAGCTGAGACCCGACTACAGCTCCCGCGGTGCATTGCGCCGCACCGCCAGGTTCGACATGAGTGACAGGAGCAGGCAGAGAACCAGCGACTCTGCGTGCAACTTGCGTTCCGTAGTAATGATACACGTGGTGCGTGAAGCTGCTCTGAAGGCCTAACGATTTTCATCAGTTGTTTTGGAGCTTAACAATTAAGACAAAAATAAATTAAAGAGTAGAAAATTGCACTAAATGTAAATATTGTTCTCATGAATTAAAAAAAGAAAGCCTCTGTTAAATGTCATGTTATACGAAATGGGAGATTTGGTCAATTAATAATCACTGTAGTTGGTGAACAGTGAATTTTTATCTAACGTTACCAAACTAGCTGTCTAACTGTGACTCAGCTGGTTAGAAGCAGGTGTTGCACAATGTTCTGCTCCGATAGCTGCAGGGCAAAGTCCAAACATTCTCCATAACCTGCATGCAGTCAAGTGTCTGTTTCTCTCAAGTGCAGACGTGTCAATTGAGGCAATTATCTTAATTATTTAAGCAAGCAATCAATCGGTGACACATGTGCCGATGTACAGCCTTGGTTTGAGTAAAGTAAAACCTGGATAGAGTCCCAGCTTTGACCTTTTAAAAGTACTTGGTTGCACTGTGGACACCATGAGGACCGTGCAGGACTTGGATGGGATTTGAGCCTCAATACCGGTCAAATGCAGATAATAGTGCACCGCCCTCTGACCCTGCGTGAACCCGAGTTCCTAATCCGGTCTGCGGCTGGTGATTCAGGCTGGTGCCAGTTGGGTGCAGAGGTGTTTGCACAGGCTTCAGCTGCTGTGCTCTCAGTGGAGGCCTGTGCCTGGACTTCATCCCTCATCCCGCTTCGCCCGCAGCGCTTTAGAGACAGCAGCTTGGAACGCCATGCCGAGCGTTCTGTTATCATGTCTGTTATTCAGTTCCATTTAGCTTCTAGCGCTTTATAGTTCTAGTAAAACTACCACCAGATATGTGGGAGGGACACGCGCGCGGTTTGGACAAAGTGCCGCTGAAGGAACCAGAAGTGAAACGAGAACCTGCCCTTTTCGTTTTTGCGAGAAGGCGTTAATGACCAAACACAGCACATAAACACAGCGCTGTACATAAAGCGGCAATGAAAAGACGTCAAATTAAACGGCCTACATGCAAACAAGACTTTGTTTGAACTACAGCTTTTCAGAAAGGAATTAAACTGGTAATTTCCCATTAAAAGGATTTTGAATGAATTAACTGTTTTTCACTTTTATCCTCAAGAATGTTTAGTCTTTTTTCTTTTTTTTAAATTTATTTAAACTACTTTAATCTACCGACATGGCATTTTGAAGGTTAACAAAATGTAGTAAATTGTGAAATAAAGACACTATGTGACTAATGAGCTGACTGAAGCTAAATGTTTATTGTAATTCATGTTTAACCCCCCAGCTGACATGAGCCTGGCCGAATGGGGGCGCAAGGCCATCGACATCGCGGAGAACGAGATGCCCGGCCTGATGAAGATGAGGGAGATGTACGGTCAGTCCAAGCCGCTGAAGGGCGCCCGAATCGCCGGCTGCCTCCACATGACGCTGCAGACCGCCGTGCTCATCGAGACCCTCACCACCCTCGGCGCTGAGGTGATGTTCACCAGCCGATCATTAATGCCGAACGCCTTTTCCCGCCGCGGCGGGTAACGCGCCGATTGGTTCAGCTTGAGGAGCTGAACCAATCGGCACGTGGAATGTTAATAAATAAGTCTAGAGGCACAAACTGGTTTTCAATGGCAAACGTGTAGATTAGTTTTTAAATCCCTCATTAAGTGATGCATTTGAGTTGGGATAAATTTCACTGGACCAAAGACTAACTGCCCCCCTCTTATCCTGTGCCGAGCGTGGACTTTGTTTTCTGACTTTTGGTTGATTTCCAACCAAGTGTAGTTGAGCTTTCCAAAGACGTAAGATCTGATTTGCTTGGTTATTCTTGGTGTCCTTCATTCACATGATGCATTGTGTGAATTAAAAGGCCTCGATTACATAGTTACCATGTGACACTTTGAAATAAACCCATGTAAGCTGAAGCGGTATTTGCCTTTGAGACACTTTATTGAACAGTTTGTGCAAACGGTTCCAGTGAGTCTGGCACGTTGCCGCTCGGCCTCAAGGCCGTCGTGTTGGTTTTATCTGTCTGAGCCGGACTGGTGGGAACCAGCCGCCTGAGAACCAACAGCATGAATAACACCCCGACGCCCCCCTTCTGATTATGCCGACTACTGTCACCTTCTGGACACTAGATGGCAGCAAAGTGTCACATGGGGTCATTTCGTTTTTAGTGATGTAATGTGGCGGATCTTTTATAATGACAATATATCACATTTTGCTCAATAGTCTGAAGCCTCTTTGCTTCACACTACAATGTATTCATCATTCTAGCTCGATTAAACCGGTAATGTTTCACTGTCATTAGTGTGCTTGGTTAAAATGATCAGATTTTACAATCTGTCTTTTATATTACCGCTTATTCGATATCCTCAGCAGTCATTTTCTTGGCACCGCATGGTGAGAGCTAATGACCCAGTGAGATGCTGAAGTTCTCTCCTCCCGCTCTTCCTCCTCAGGTTCAGTGGTCAAGCTGCAACATCTTCTCCACTCAGGACCACGCCGCCGCCGCCATCGCCAAGTCTGGAGTTCCAGGTAACGCACACAGCTCCACCCGTGTTTCAAAATTAAGTATTTAAAATGAGGACAAAAAATGAGCCACGCCGTACTTTTAAAGACTTGCAGAATCTTGACTAATCGACAAAAAGGCTCCAGACAAACGTCATGTGTTTCACTAACGTTCCAAATGATTTTCTTATAGTTCAAACGTCTGCTTTAGTTATTTGTATCAATACAGAATTTAAATAGTAAATAATTCTTGTGTTTTAACCATATTCATGGTGACTCATGAACGGCTACAGTAGAATAAGTGTTGCGTCCGTCGTGCAGTGTACGCGTGGAAGGGAATGACCGACGAGGAGTACGTGTGGTGCATCGAGCAGACGCTGCACTTCAAAGACGGCCAGGCCCTCAACATGATCCTGGACGACGGAGGAGACCTCACCAACATGGTCCACCAGAAGTACCCCAAGCTGCTGGCAGGTCGGTTCCTCCACGCCTTCGTTAGGAGGCGGAGTCAGTGACCATGATGTCACGCGGGCTTAGTTCAGGTTAACCAGACGTGAACTTTGGGTTCTTTTCTGTTACAAAATAAGTTTCTTTGGGGAAACTAATTTCCCAGGAAATTGCCCCGAATTCAGCGCCTGGTTTCTCTCGTTGAAGAAAATGTTTACGGTGCAAGAAGAGTTCTGGACACTAGGTGGCGTCAGTGGTTCAGTTTGCCGCAGCGACCCTAGAACCCAAAGGGTCTCCTCACCGACTAGTCGCCACTCAGGCGCTCTGAGGGATTCTCTCCAATTAGACGCAAACTTTTAACTTAAGAGAAATTGAAACAACGAAAAAGGCCAGCAAAAGGCCCTTTTATATTAATTGAGCTACTTGAGGCAGATTCTGGCATCTAAAACATATTTGAAAGGTAGAGAAGGATTCAGCAGGCGGATCGTGACGGTCCCGTTTACTTTGCCCCTAAAAAGCTTTTATCTCTTCATTAAGTGATTTAACTACACAGCCCGACCTGCGTTTATTTACTACCTGACCTTCAGGTATCCGCGGCCTGTCGGAGGAGACCACCACCGGCGTGCACAACCTCTACAAGATGCTGAAAAAGGGCGATTTAAAAGTTCCCGCCATCAACGTCAACGACTCCGTCACGAAGGTAAGCGGCCTGTTCAGGGTAGAAATTGACATATTTAGGGGGCGTCTTTGCCCCAATGACTGAAACCAGGGGCTTTTCTTTTAAACTTGTGAAATAACATTTCTTATTGGCTCTGTGTTCATGCATTTGTCATCAGATGACAGTAATCAGACCATTCGGCAGCAGTCTACGGAAAACATGAATCCGTTTTATTTAGTTTCCAGTGTTTCGCAATATGTGAAGTAACATCAATGTGTTTGACAAGTTAACTATATTTTAATTATTGGACATTTTTGCCCCCCTTCTTTCGTGATATCGGGGGGCCTTTGCCCTGCTGTATTTCTGAGCCTGGAACTCGTGATCCTCTGCAGCTGCATCCTGCAGAGAATTGGACAAAGCTTTTCTTTTGGCATGAATAATGTGCTCAGTCTGTAAATTAATAAGCCTGTTTTAAGTGCTCACAGCACGATAAATTAAACCGCTCGGGGTCCCACGAAGGCTCTGACTTCTGGAAGAACTCTATCTGACACTGCCCCCCCCCCCACCCCGCAGAGCAAGTTCGACAACCTGTACGGCTGCAGGGAGAGTCTGATCGACGGCATCAAGAGGGCCACCGACGTGATGATCGCCGGTAAGGTGGCCGTGGTGGCCGGCTACGGCGACGTGGGCAAAGGCTGCGTGCAGGCGCTGCGCGGGTTCGGCGCTCGCGTCATCGTCACGGAGATCGACCCCATCAACGCCCTGCAGGCCGCCATGGAGGGTAGGTGGGGTTTTTCATCGGGAAGCGCCTGAGTTGACGTATCCGGTGACGCTGGAGCACGGTGTTAATTGTTGGCTTATTAAAATGCTTCGTAGGTTATGAGGTCACCACCATGGACGAGGCCTCCAAGGAGGGAAACATCTTCGTCACCACCACCGGCTGTGAGGACATCATCCTGGGACAGTGAGTGACCTCTGAAATGATGCTTTCATTGTTTAAGGTTTTATGCAATTGAATGAAATGGTTATTTTTGCGTTTTCCCTTCAGCCACTTTGAGAACATGAAGGACGACGCCATCGTCTGCAACATCGGACACTTTGACTGCGAGATCGACATGGGCTGGCTCACCAAGAACGCTGCCGAGAAGATCAACATCAAACCTCAGGTATGTGTGGAGCGGTTCCCCCTCCTCACCTGCAGCCGCCTGAGCGCTGAGCCGCCACTCATCTGGATCCCCTCCTCCTCCTCCTCTTCCTCAGGTCGACCGCTATCGCATGAAGAGCGGCCGTCATATCATCATCCTGGCCGAGGGCCGACTGGTGAACCTGGGCTGTGCCATGGGACACCCGTCCTTCGTCATGAGCAACTCCTTCACCAATCAGGTAGGGAGGGTGGAGCCTTTTACATCAGGGCGCAAAGAATGAAGTCGTGCGACCTGGAAACGCTGAATGCGTCTGATCTTCGGTCTCCTTCAGGTTCTGGCTCAGATCGAGTTGTGGGAGAACACGGCCAAGTACCCCGTCGGAGTCTACTTCCTGCCCAAGAAGGTCAGAGGTCACACTGTGATAAAGCTGCGTGTCGCAGAAACCCGACCGGTCGTTTCTTGACCTCCTTTAGAAAAGCGCTGACGGGACTCTGGTCCATCCTCGCCGTCCAGAGTTGCACTTACTGTGAACTAAAGCGCTAAATCCCAGATGTGATGTTTTTCCGGTGAGAGGCCGGTCACGTCAAAGGGGGGCGGGGATAGAAAGATTACAGTAGTGAAGCTGTAAGCCGCTGCTGAATGCAGCAGATTTATTTGTCCCTCCAACATTAAAAAGCCGTGGAGCTTTGAGGAGCGTCTCCAGCCATCGCCTGCATTCCAACCGAGGAGGCAAACGGCTTCTCTTTACACTGTAGATGCGACGCCGCGGAGTCGGACTTACGTGATAAGCATCGTGAATCAAAGTGTCTGTTTAACCCGACCGCCCCTTCCTCCCCCTCACAGCTGGACGAGCAGGTGGCGGCCGCCCATCTGGACAAACTGGGGGTGAAGCTGACCAAGCTGACCGACAAGCAGGCCAAGTACTTGGGTCTGCCCACCCAGGGGCCCTTCAAGCCGGACCACTACCGCTACTGAGCGGCCCGCGGTGGCGCCGCCTCGTGTGTGGAGCACTTTGGACTCTCGGATATGCTGAGGGGCTGTTCCGTCTCGGTTTCCTTCTCCCCCTTTTTCTTTTATTAAAATGGCCGTTCTAAAAGTTGCCCGCGCTGGATTTGGCAGTCTGCTGCCCGGGCCTTCGTCCGTAGCTCTGTCATGTCAAGTGTCCCCATCAGGAGGTCGCAGCAGCATCATCCAGATGTGTAGTTCTGTCATTTCTCATCACTTCTGAAACGTCACAGGGAACTGAATAAACCTGAATCTTTCCATTTTTAACCTGCGACTCGCGCAGTTTTTCCTCAATTCTGTGTTTTGTCTGACGGGTTGAGTGGACGTTTAAGGCCTCGTTCACTTAATGGAATCCTTCTGTGTTCCGTGTCTACTCGTCATCACAGTGACACGTTCTGCTGCCAAAGAAGCCACCAAATCAACAAGTCTTAATCTGTTTTTATTCTGTCTGTTGTGAAGGGGTCAAACTCCTCGTCTGTCGCTGCAGGCCGATGACGCGCTCAGTTCTAAACTGTGACCAGGAAAATAAACATGTGACTGTTTCTCCTCGTACGGCTCAATACTTGCTTTGGTCAAAGTGAGAATTGCAACTATTCTCCAGTGTTTGTTGTCATGGTACCGGGCTGTAAGTCACGTGGGCGGGACCGTGGGTCACGTGGGCGGGACCGTGGGTCACGTGGGCGGGACCGTGGGTCACGTGGGCGGGACCGTGGGTCACGTGGGCGGGACTGTGGGTCACGTGGGCGGGACCAGTGTGAACACATAAAGCTGCTGACTGACAAATCCATGTTTTGCACTTAAGAGGAAAAGCTGTGACTTTCAAATTGGTTCAAGGTTTTAATGAACGGTTTATACAACTAAATCTGCAATGACCAGCGACCATCACACACCTTGTAATCCTGTCATGGGTCCGATAAATCAGACGTGTGTGTCCCTCGTATGACATTGTAAAATATCTTCATAAAGTCGACCACCTGTGATATTTAGAGGCAGAGAGTCTGTGCTCATAATTATGGACACGAACCGCGTAGCAGATTCTGACCCATCATCATTTTCGTCAAGCCGAGTCCTCGAGCAAGGCACCGTGCTGCCAGTGACGCGCTGACTTGAGGCCCTCGAATTGTCTGCAGACTTTGAGCTGATCGCAGGAACCGGCCGGAGGTTTTGGAGGAAAAGAGAATATTGGGTTTCGTTTACATCCCCTCTTTAAATATAACAAACCGGGAGCAAAGTGCGCGGCTGGTAAATATTTAATAGAACGTGGAACTGAAAGTGGGCTCGTGTTTAAGACATCGGGTCTCTGAAGGGACATTATAGAAAGGAAGCTGCTGTTTGTCCTTCCAATCCACACAAGTCCTCGATAAGATCTCTGCATGAGGCCTCAGTCGACGCTGCTTTCATTACAGAAACCCAGTTCGAGTTCGCTGAGGGAACTGGAAGCAGATGTGAGCGAGAACATCCGCCACCAACACGGGACGACATTGGAATTCTAAATAAATCATCCTGAATAAAAAGCGATTTCTCTTTTAAAAGGGCGTCTTTCTTTGTGGAGGATCAGCGTTGGATTCCAGGCGTCTGTTCCGGTGAGCCGCTCGTAGCCGCAAAGACGTTTAAAGACGGTGACTCAACTTTTCTTGGTCTCGGTTTCTCCTTTTATTTCTTTATAATTCTGCGGAGTAAGTCCTCCAACAAATGGCTCCAATGAGACGATGTGGTTTCAGATAGAAACGTATTGATGGAACGCTGCTGCTTTCATTAACAGACAAAAAGCCGGACGGAGTCCGCAGGGCGCCGTGAACGTCCGACGCTCACTCAGCGCCGGCGGCCTTCTGTGTGAAGAAGCATCAGCTGTGTTCATTGTTCTCTCCTTTTGACTGTGACGATAAATTGAGACGTTAAAGCTGCGTTCAACCTCGGCACGTTTCCAGGTCTGGTTGAACTTTTATCACGACGCCACCTCGAGTGTGAGTGACGAAGACTAGAGTGAAGTGGGTCGAGCTGTTCGCGGCGGCTTGGATGGCTGAGACCGACTCTCCCCCGGGAGACTTCTGATACAGATGCAGATGTCGAAATGCTTTCATCAAATGTTTGCTTCAGAGAGCGCGGCGTTCTATCAGAAACGTACGCCGCAAACATTCGTTTCTGGCGGCCGCGGGAAATAAAATCCAGAAGGCCCGGATGCCATCACAGAGATATTCTGTTCCCCCGACGGGCCGCGTTGTGTTTCACTTCATCGGCCGGCGGGTTCTCCTCAACCCGCCCATTCCAGAACGCTGGCGTTTGATCTCCGCAGCGGCGGCGGATGGGTTTTCCTCTGCGGGACGGCCGGGTTCTTTTCGGCCCTGCTGGTCCCGTCGTCTTGTGAGCGCTTTCAGTTGTCGGGTCCACCTCGCTGAAACCAGTCAACGTAATTCCGTCCTCTTGGTTCATGTCACTCGGATGACGGGTCGTCGGTCCTTGTTGAGCGCGGCGGGCGTGTGGTTGAACCCATGAACCGCTCAGCATCCCTGTGACCCCGCGGCCAAGTTTTAGTGGCACCGCCACTTACCGCCATTCGTCCTCCGCCGGCTCGGAGCAATAAAAACACCAGATGTTGAAACAAACACGCGGCCTCGTTGACCTCTGGGGAAGCGGTTTGCAACACGTCTCCACATGACGCAGAGTTACAGCGGCGTGGGGTATTTACCGCTCCGGGCGGGAGGGAGGGAGGGAGGGGGACGCAGACGGGCACTTCCTGCGTGGCTGACGAGGGCACAGCGGCGAGAATGAAAGCGGGACGAGTTTCCCGTCAGCCAAGTGAATCCAGCTCCTGTATTTAAACGGTCTGCAGTGAGTCATGCAATGCGAGCCCCCCCCTCAGAGGGGGCTTTAATGAGACCCTTCAGGTCTGGACATTGTTCTTAAACAGCTCACTATTGCCTCATTTCCCAAATGTCGGCGGCTCCGTCGGGGAGCCTCTGTCGTATATCTGGTTACCAGAAGCCTTTTTCCTCAATGGAACCTGGAGGACCACCGGGGGGGGGCGGGGGGGGGGACGTGTGAGCTGCATGCCGACCGGCCCTCACTGAGGTCAACGCGTACTTTTAGTCTGTAAACTAGTGTTTAACGTAACTGTCGGTAAAATGCAAAGAACACGGAGCATAATCGGTGAGACGCTCAGCAAACAAACAAGGAACAAAAGTTATAGTTGAAACCAAAATAATGCAAACCGAATCCACAATAGGAAACAAGTTTGGATCATTTCAGGTTTTCACACAGAAAAAAAGGCCCCTGATGTCCCATAAAGAAAGAAGAAAAACAGCACAAACTGTGCAGGAACGTTTCCAGCAACAAGCCGACAACACAGAGGTCCTCTGTTACCACGTTCAGCAAGACTCATGAAGCATTCTGCGGAATGCCTGCAAATTAAGAGTTAAGAATTAAGTAACTTAAGTTTTGAGGAAAATTTATTGTGTCTTGACATAAATAATGAAATAAAAACCTGAAACCAATTTGTGAGAAAATGCACATCCTTTAAAACATAATTAAAAACATCATTGAGGGTTGGAGGAGCATTATTTTGATCCTCCGTTTAAAAAAAGGGTTTTATTTAAATGCACGTATTGTTTTTGAGGATGAACAATGCGCCTGCAGAGACTTCGTCTTCCTTCTTGGCCGGAGGGACGATGGATTAGTGGTTCAGGTTCCCCAAAGCTTCCGAGAAACAACGAAGGACCATTTCCCAGAATGCACGCTGCGTAACAAAACAGGATTACCGATAACAGACTGAAACCGGGATCGATCATCGAAAAGCCAAACGACGGACGAAGAACAGCAGCAACCAACGGGACAAACAGAGTCTCGGTCGGCAGCAGGCGGAACGTTCGGCGCCGGTTCTTTTCGCAACGAGTGGACGGACTTCGTGCTCGTTGCACATATTTCTGTGAGATCACGTAGAGGGCTGGAAAGAGGTTTTCATTCCCCCAAAGTGGCCTCGAATGACCTCTGTCAGGCCGAGGTGATGTCTGTTACGTGCGTGTGCTCCTTGGCGTGTTTCTGAAGGTAAACTGTCGAAATGTTGTCCAGAAGCGGGACTCGAGGAGGGAGTCTCCCCAAAAAGACGAAGGTCAACCACATCACGAATGTCTCCGCGTGTCTCCAGCGTGGGATAAACACCAGGACAGAAAGTAGAAAGCTGTCACTGAATTACGACTCGTTTCCGACAACAACAACACGGTTGTGCAACTAAAGTCACTTCCCAAAAGTGCTCGAGCCAAGGCGGGGTATTCAGGTCCCCGAAAGGGGTCCACGCGGGGGGGGGGGGGGGGTCCGAACGGGCTTCACTCGGACAAACTGACCACAGATGTGAAAACAAGACTCCTTGATAGAGTCACACGTCAGCAGCTCAAAGTCTGAAGACTGACAGCTGGTCTCGAGGCGCGAGGCAGCGGTCGGATACTGAGACGTTTTCACTGGCGTGTTTCACAGCGAGGCTCGCCGTCCACACGCTGCACTCAAACGCCTCATCCCACCGTCCGCACGCTGCACTCAAACGCCTCATACCGCCGTCCGCACGCTGCACTCAAACGCCTCATACCGCCGTCCACACGCTGCACTCAAACGCCTCATACCGCCGTCCACACGCTGCACTCAAACGCCTCATACCACCGTCCGCACGCTGCACTCAAACGCCTCATACCACCATCCGCACGCTGCACTCAAACGCCTCATACCACCATCCGCACGCTGCACTCAAACGCCTCATACCACCGTCCGCACGCTGCACTCAAACGCCTCATACCACCGTCCGCACGCTGCACTCAAACGCCTCATACCACCGTCCGCACGCTGCACTCAAACGCCTCATACCGCCGTCCGCACGCTGCACTCAAACGCCTCATACCAACCGTCCAAAATACACGTTTAGACAAACAACGTGGTTCCTTTTCTGCTGAAAGCGTTCAGCCATGATGCAAACGTCCATCGATGGAAACATTTCATCTCATGAAGGAAAACACAGATGACTTCTTGGTTCTGTTGCAGCGTAAAGGGCTGATAATTAGGTGGGGAACAGACTCCACACACACACACACACACACACACACACACACACACACACACACACACACACACACACACACACACACACACACACACACACACACACACACACCAGAGCTGCCAACTTTTCAAAAAACCTCAGAGTGAGATTTTTTCGGGAGCGACCAAAGTATCAGGAAATTGTAATTCACTTGGCGTAGTACCCGTGTTGTACGCTGCATTCTGGTGGTTTGTGGGGCCCAGAGCGGTTGATCGGGGCGGCCTGCTGGAGATGGACACTGGTCACATTCTGAGAAGCAGAGACAGCTGATGGTCCACTCCCAGGACACTCTGGTTTAACTCAATGTCATTTTGTGCATTCTGGTGGATTTTTGGGTGGCGTGTCTGAACTTATTCTGATTCATGTTCATCTGCTCATGACTTGAGCTGAACATTCAACCAGAAAACTATTCCTGTACCACAATGAATGTCTATGTACCACAACATAGCCTAATTAATAGAC